CTTGGGCCAGTGAAGCAGTGTCCTCCACAACTAGACTGAAGAACAAAACGACAGCAACTTGTCTGTTCCCCTTCCCCTAATTCCCCAGTACTGTTCCTATCCCCCCAATTACCCAATAAAAATCTTTAAAAAAAAAAATCAACAGGTAAAAGGGAAGGGGAACATTGTGATACTATATAAAATACCTTTCTAGCAACCAAAGCCTGTCCAGTAACAGAGTAACAGAAAAGCATGTCTCTGCTGTATGAGGCTGGCGATGATAATATAGTAGACAGAGTTAGGATGTTGGACTCCAGGGCCTCTAAGAACTCTTCCAAGGCCCAAATTCTATTATTCTAAGTTATGCTACATTGGTTTACTCTTTCATACATTATACAGTGACTAGTTACACAAGCCCCAGGAGAAAGCAACAGAGGATACCACAAAGTGTTCTACAAACTTGCAGTGTTCTCATGGATCTAAACAAGAGCAAATGCACAGGAGTGAATCTTCCATGGAGGAAGGTAATGAATACAACAGCAAACATCAAGGAGTAAGGAGACTTCCAGGCAGGAAACAAATGGGAAGTCAACAAAAAATGTTACTGAAGAAATGCCGCCATATGAGCACATCTGAGTTAGGTCTATAGGGATCCCTGGTGGGAGGTAGACTGGGGCTGCCACAGAATCTGGGGAGAAAAACATTCAATATGGCAGTAATAGTCTGAGTGTAGAGGAGGAAGGAAAGCCCTGGGGTAGTAAAGAACTTGCTAGAAACAGTCAGGAAACTCTGGTGCTAAAAGGAAATAATAGAAATCATTTAGTCATACACAAGCCTTATGGATGTTACCCAGCTTGCACCGGGTAAAAAAGTTACTTTCTTAAATTTTATTTTACAAACAAAAAACTATATCAATGATTTTTTTCTTTAGTGGTTTTTTTTTTTTTTTAGATTCATAGATCCTTCTCTTATTTTCTAGAAAATCTTAGAGGTTTTTAAACTTTTGTTATTTTTCATTATCTACGCTTTCCAATATTTGACAATCAGATTTGCAATTATAATTCAGCTCTGAGCCTAATATTTATAATCCCTTCAATGGTTAAATTTACTAATACTACAAAATAAAAGGATATTATATAATAATCTAAAGACTATGCCTTTAAGTAGAAGAATGTTAAAAATATATGGAGTCTCAAGGGCTGCCTAAGTGGCTCAGTTGGTTAAGAGCTCGCACTCTGAGCGAGCTCTGAGCAACAGGGTCGCCGGTTTGATTCCCGGCCGGAGCTGAACTGCCAACAGGTGGCAGGATGGCTCAGCTAAAAAAAAAAAAAAAAAAGAATATATGGAGTCATAAAACAAGTTGACGTCTCAGATCCAAGAAACTATCTCACCGAACTTATATTGGGTTGTCAGAAAAGTCATGACGCATTTTTGCCATGAAAAACAGAAAAAATACGTCATGACTTTTCCGACAACCCAATATATAGTGAGACTGATCCAACTAAGAAAATAGAATTAACAAAAGACTGAAACAAAAAATCTAGGTCCAAAACTAGTGAACAAAACACATTTGAACAATAAACTTAATATTCTTCTGGCCAATCATTTCTCAAATCCCTGTCAAACTATTTTAAGGATCTGAACTCTCGCTCTATAAAAAGCAAGTTCCCATCATCTAAACTACACTTGAGATTCTATCACAGTAGTTACTAAAGCGTAACACAACAAGTTTCAGATTTTTGTTTCCTATTAGTACAAAAAGTGCTTACCTCTTTTATATAGAGTGTGGCCAAAATCCTGACACACTAGATCTGGGTTTTCAGTTCTAACACAAAATATAAGCTTAGCAAAGGTCTTTTCTGTATTTGCCACTTAGACTACAACATGGAGATACAATATTTGACATTTCCACCACCAACAGTCTCTTCAGAGGATTCCTGACTTTGGTTAACCTTAGTTGAGAGAATATAAAAGTATAATTGAAAACTCCTAAATAAAAATTAAAACTTTAGGGGCCAGCCAAGTAGCTCAATTGGTTAAGATCGCAGAGCTCTGAGCAAGAGGGTCACCCTGAGGAACAGGGTCGCCAGTTTGATTCCCATATGGGCCAGTGAGCTGCACCAGAGCTGAGCTGCCAACAGGTGGCAGGATGGCTCAGCTGGTGAGAGCAGGTGCTCCTAACAAGGTTGCTGGTTGACTCCCGCATGGAATGATGGGCTATGCCCACCTGCAACTAAAATTGAACTCGGCACCTCGAGCTGAGCCGATGGCAACTGGACTTGGAGCTGATCTAGCTAGCTATGCTCTCCAGAACTAAGGTTGCAGGACAACAACTTGGCTATTCCCCTTCCCCAATTCCCCAACACTGTTCCTCTTCCCCAATTCCCCCAATAAAATCTTTAAAAATTAAAACTTTAAAAATCTAAAACAGTGCTTGCTACACATTAGCCAATAAACTATTAATTACAAAAATGGAGATTTAAATAACAGCTAAAAAAAAAAGGTGTAATTACACAATTTTACAAAGATGAATAAGCAAACAGTTCACCAAAATGTACATCTTTCTCAGCAAATGGAGAAGACAAATAATATTCAGTAACTCTGGGACACTGTGGTGTTATTTGTGTTATCTATATGGCCTCTGCATCAATGTTACTGTTCTCCCATTGCCCTGATGAGCAAAAGGAGCCCACTGTCCACGATTCCTCATACAAAGAGCTCAGTAAATGTCACAAATAATAGTAATAGAAAGCAACAAATTCTGAAGCCAGAATTTATACTGGACTGTGGCATCCAAATAGGGTGCAGGGCACATGGCAGCATGCAACTATTATATTTCTCACTTCTGATTCTTCTGCATCGCTGCCTCCCAAAGGACTAGAGAATCTAAAGCTCTCACATCTACAAATTACTATAGATGCTCACAGGTTCTACGAATGGTATTTAATTAACGAGCCCCACAACAGAGAAGTTCACCCAGGTGCAACATAGCATGCTTTAAGGCCCCACCTATTTTTAATTTTACAAATTAATAACTATTTTTTAAAACACTATGTAATAAGTTAGACTCTGGAAAACCCCATACTCATCCGAGCGGCTCAGAAAATGGAAAGCAAAATTCGATTAGCTCCATTGTACCCAACCAGGCCAACGTGCAAGATCACACACTCATCTTCGTCAGAGCGTCTCTGCCAATACCAAAGAACAACAAAGGCAAGTTGAGGAGGCTGCACAAGGCTTAAAACTCAGCACTTGTCCGCTTTCCCAGCTTCCGAAAGACACTTTTTGCGGGCCCCGGAGACCAAGGGGACCCTCCACGTCCCGCCCGGCCCGCTGCTCGGCTCCGGGCCGCTCGCTCAGCTTTTGTCTGGCCCGGCTGGAAGCCCCGGCCGCCGCCTCCCCGGCACCCCTTTCTCCACACCCATCACTCGCCGAGGACGAGCTGTTGTGGGTTCCTCCCTTCGCCCACTCCCCTCACAATTTCGGGCTCTTTTCAAATGCGACTCGGCGTTCGCTGGCTTCTCCCACCCAGCCGGACAGACTCGGGGTCAGGGGTGGGGTCTGGGAGAGGAAAAGAGAGAGGGGCACACAAAGCGGGGCTGACCTCACAGCCGCCCCCCACCCCCCACCCCTGCAAAGCAGCCTGGGATCAACCACCTACGGGTTGGAAAAACAACCCTCCCATCCCGCTCCTCGCCGGCTCCCACCTAGGGCCTCCCCCTCCCCCCAAAGTGCACCCAAGAGCCGATGACAACGCTGGACATCGCCCCCACCCACTCCCGGACCTCACCACCACCAGGGAAGGGGGCAGGGGGCTGGGAGGGCTGGGGTCTAAATCTCCTCGCCCTAACCCGATACTTACAGCCGTAGTCTTCGCTACAGTTGCCGCAGCACACCAGACAGCCGCCGCCTTCTCCTCCACCCTAATGAGGTTAAGTGCTTGGGGCGGAGATTAAAAAAAAAAAAAAAAAAAAAAAAAACAGCTGAGAGCGCCTGCGCAATGCGCTCTCCCTTTTTCCCCTTACCGCCACCAACCCAGCTGGACCATATAGAGCGTAGACCTGGAACTAGAGAGGCGACTGCCTCGCTAGCGTAACTCCTCGCGCATGCGCCGGCCTGGCTGCGCTGGACTTCGGAAGCTGAAAATCCCGGGCGCTTTGACCCTCATGGGGACCCGTAGGTAAAGGTTCTCTTAGGGGGGAGTGGCCGGGCTGTAGTTGGGCCTCTTGGAGAACAGCGGCAAAACTCAGGCTAGGCAAGGAGGGTTAGAGCTAAGCGGTCAGGGCAGTAAGGCAGCAGAAAGCAGGGAGTGAATAGCGCTAAGGAGAAACCAGGAAAGCCCGGATAAAGTCGTCTGGCTGGAACTTCCTCCGGTCGGAGGGCTAACGCCTGAAGGAAATGGCCTGTCTCTTCTGGGTTCGGCGCGTCCCGCCCGCACGCCTTCGGGCGACGAGGATGAAATAAATTGTCCCCTGCGACTTTCCGTACCAGGCTTGCATCCTTTCTCCGGTTCTTTCTCGAGGAGGCGCGGACACTTGAGCCGGAAGCACAACTTTTTAACGGTTCTTCACCCTTTTTGGAGCGGAGCCTGCTCCGTAGAGGCCTTGAAGACCTTTGGGACGACCCTTTCTTACTTGAGCTTCTCCGCATATAACTATCGTTGCGTCTGCTCTCCCCCTCGCATTGCTCTGATGATACTGTGTAGGAAAGCGGGAGGCTAGAAAGCTATGCAAGTTGCAAGGCTGCCTTTAAGGATTCTGAAGGAGCCACGTTTTTGTTGCGTCAAGCCCTTGCGCTCACCGGTAGTTTGACATTGAAAGCTTTTGTGTGCGATTATACATTGCTTCATGGAAATCACTCTTGGAGTGTGAGCCGGCGTCCCTCCATCTAGATGTTCAATGTGTTGAGTTTCACTGGTTGCTCTTGAATGCCATACTCTGTCGGAATGTGTGTGTGTTGGGAGAGGTGCAGGAGAACGGAATGCCGCGATACTCCGGCTTAAATGTTATGGCTAGAGAGACTAAGCTAAAACAATAAAGCCATGTGTAGGCCTGTCTGCGTAGTGCAGAAAAGGAGACAACTGTGATCCATAGCAGTAGGGATGACACGGATGGGAACATGATTCCTGGAAACTTAAAAAAGATAACATCTTTGGAGCGAAAGCACAAGCAGCCTTTTGAAAATGGATGGATGATGATGAAAACATTCCAGAGAGAAGAAACACCATGGGGCAAAGGCTCAAGAGGGAGTGGGTGTTACACTGGAAATACAATGAACAGAGCAAACGGAAATGGCAAAATATGTATGTACGTATATTTATACATATACATATATGACAAGTGGAAAATAAGGTTTGATAAAGGATGGGGATTTTTTTATTTTTAATTGTAAATAAAAACTCTTACCATCTTAACCATTTTTAAGTGTACAGTAAGGAATATTTACAATACCATTCACCATCACCAGTACTCTTCATGTTATAAAACTATAATTCTGTATCATTCCTTCTTTTTCCCCCAGCTCCTGGCAACCACCATTCTACTTTCTTTATAAATTTGACTGCTCAGTTACCTCATCTAAGGGGAATCACACAGACATGGTTGTCTTCTTGTGACTGGCGTATTTTACTTAGCATAACATCCTCAAGTTTCGTCCATGCTGTGGCATGTGTCAGAATTTTTTAAAGCTGAATAATATTCCATCATATGTGTATACCACCATGGACACTTGGGTTACTTTCACCTTTTGGCTATTGTGAATAACGCTACAATGAATATCCCTGAAACCCTGCTTACATTGCGATAGGGAAGATTTTGAAACCAACAGGAGAAATCTATACTGTTTCAGGTCCTCGACCCAGGGTAGTAACATGGTGAAAGAACTGTTTTGGAAAATGATTCTGGCAGTGGAAGCTTAATACATATTCCATTTATATAAACCATTTATAGAGGCTTTAAGATAAGCCAGGCATTGTACTACCACTTTATGTAAATTATTGATATATCATTGAAGCCATCAAAATAAACATGAGCCAATTGTTATTCACCACATTTTACAGGTGAGAAAAATCAGTTTTGATTTACAGATGGGTTGAGGGAAGGCTTTACCAACCACACACACAAGTAATTAGAAAACAAAACTGCTATGGGAACCAGGTACCCATGGGCACTCACTATTCACTGATTTGGACAAGAATATTGAAAGAAAACAATTCACATGTTAAGAGTAAATTTTCTCAGAAGAGAGAACAGGCTGACCTCAAGAGCTTTCAGTATCAAATTGCTGGTATATATAAGGGTTTAACACAGTAGAACTGCGTCTCCCAAGGTCCCTAAAAGAACTCTGGGGTTTGACTCCAGGTCTATTTTTGCCTTTAAAAAGTATAAAATGCCATCTAAGTATATCTTTATAGGTAATAGAAAAATTAATAGGACACATCATTTCCTATGTAACACTTGCATCTTCCATTTTACATTCTTAAAAATCTTGAGGAAATTCAATTTCCTCATCTGTCAATAATCTCCTTTTGGCAGATGAGGAAATTGAAGACCAGAAAAGAAAAATGAGTTGCCCAGTGTCATATGGCTGATTAGTACCAAGACTGCCACTGAAATCTGAACCTCTAGAAATCCTCTTTGGGCTCCCTTACAAAGATAGACACCATAGTCTGAGTGGGTGGTGGACAGTGTTTCTATTGGATTAAGTCTCATCTTCGTCAGAAATACATGCCCAGACTCCCATGAAGCTAGTGCCAGTTAAACAAGGAGGCAGAGAATATAAGTGCATTATAAACATTCATACACTCAGACTTACTGTGTACGAATTATGTGCCAAACAATTAGCAAAGCAGGAAAAAAAATTCCTGTTCTCAGAAGAGTAAAGTAAAAAATACATATACGCTATGTCAGGTAGAATAAGTATTGTCGGGGGGTGGGGAGAATGAAGCAGTGAGGGGGAGATAGTGCTGAGATTCAGGAAAGCGATTTCTGTTTAAGTAGGACAAGGAGGGAGCTGGGCTCAATGAGAAGCAAACTTTGAGCAAAGATCAGAAGGAGATGCGGGAACAAGAAAAGTTCTTTATCTGGGAGAACATTCCAGGTAGAATGGAAAGTGCCGAAATCATTCTGAGGTAGACTGTCAACTACATTCTAAGCAGAAAGGAGGTCAGGGTAGCAGAAGCAGAGTATGGGAAGAGAAAAGTAGGAAATGAGGTCAGAGGTAACAGGATGCCAAACTGTGTAGGGACTTAGAGGCCATTGTAAGGACTTAGTGAGAGGGGAAGCCACTGAAAGATTTTGAGCAGAGAAGTAAGATAACTTGACTTCTATTTTTAAAGAATCACTTTAGCTTCTGTTTTGAGAAGAGGCTGTAGGGAAGCAAGAGGGGGACGACTTAGTAGGCCACTGCAGCCCAAGTAAGAGATAATGGTGCGTGGCTTGGGGAAAGTGCATGCAGTGGAGGGGTGAGGGGTCTATGTCTGGCACACAGATTTGATGAATTAATTGATACAGGATGTGAGAAAAAGTAGAGTTAAGGATACTCCAAGGTTTTGGCCTGAGCAATTTGAAGAATGCAGTTGCCATTTACTGAAATGGGAAAGATGGAGGAGTAGGTTGAATGGGAAGAGAAATTCAACTTTGGAGATGATAAGTTTGAAAGGCCTATTAAATTAACACTGGAAATATCAAGAATGCAGATATGTGAGTCTGGAATTCAGAAGAAAGGCCCAGGCTGGATATGTAAATTATGGAGGCGACAGCATGTATAGAGTATTTAAAGCAATGAAATCATCTAGTTATTCAGTATAGACAGAAATTTGAACAAGTTACCTAAGAATCCCTAGCACACTCAAGCATTTAGGGATTTAGATGGTAATGAAACTAGCAAGTAGAGCAGCCACTCAGATAAGAGAAAATCAGGAAAGCAACCAAGGCGATTGCCAACATGCTACAATTGACCTGTTGGCTTTAACATTAGAGTTTTATAACAGGGCAAAAACCTGATTGGAATGGGTTCAAAAAAGAATGGTAGGAACAGAATTGGAGAGAGGGAGGATAGGTAATTTGGAGGAGAAATTTGGTTCTAAGAGTAGGGGGACATTAAAGAGAAGTGATACTTAAAAGGATAGGTAGGCTCAAGAGAGTAAATTATTTCATCCATAAATATAGTATTTCTTTTTTTTTTAAGATTTTTTTTTTATTGGGGAATTTGGGAGATGGGAACAGTGCTGGGGAATTGGGGTAAGGGGAACAGACAAGTTGCTGTTGTTTTATTCTTCAGTCTAGTTGTGGAGGACGTTGCTTCACTGTCCCAAGTTGGCACCATCATTGCGCTCTTCCCGGGCGAGGCAGATCAGTCGCCGGCTTCTGGACGGCCGCTCACTGCGGCTGCTGGCCACTCACGCTGGCTGCTGGCTACACACGGTAGCCCATGGCAACCCACTGCAGCAGGGGCTGCAGCCTACGCCGTCGCCGCGACTCACGGCAGCCCAGCTCCAGGTTGAGCTGTTGTTCAGCATCTTAGCTGTGGAGGGCAGTGTCACTGGCCCTCATATGTGGGATCCGAACCGGGGCCCTCTGGCATCCCAAGCCAGTTCTTAACCATCGTGCCACTCGGCCGGCCCTATAGTATTTCTAAAACATAAAATCCTTTTTTATAAATATAACCTCAACACCACTATCACACCTAAAAAATTAATAATTTCTAGTATCATCTACCCTGTCAATCTCACTGTCTCATTTATTTTTGCTACCATATTTATTGAGGTATAATTCACATACCATACAATTCACTCATTTAAAGTATACAACTTAATAAATTTCTGGTATCAATCTATCTTGTCATCTTTAAATTTTCCTAAATGTCTTATATTTTTCTGCTACCAGATTTATTGAGATATAATTCACATACCATATAATTTGCCCATGTAAAGTACACAACTCAGTAGTCTTCAGTACAAAGA